TGTCAGCTCTGACCAGCTTCACTGTCTCTTTTTTTTGTTTTAAATGGCACTAGCGGCTCGTTTTTTAACAGTGGGTTGACAAGAAAGGGCGTATGAAAGATGGGGGAGATGTGCGGCAAAGGACAACAGGTCGGATTCGAACCCGGGTCGGCCGCGTCGAGGACTAAGGCCTCTGTATATAGGTCGTGCGTGCTAACCACCGCACACCTGCAGAGACAAAATATGATGCTCCCACCACCATGCTTGGCTGAGCTGATGTGGCGTGTTCGATTTCTGTTGAACAAACAACTTTGCACGTGCCTAGACAGTTGAATTCAATTCTTGCAGAGGTGTACTGCTGATTGACAGTAGTTAGGGAAGAACTCACGACTAAACGCTTTAGCAGAGTTCAAACGTCTGCCTGCACCATTGTGGATTCTCCATTTTGACTGTGTCAGAGCCATCAGTTGTGAAGTGAAAGCTGTGGGTTTTTAAGTAGGCTGTCTATCTCTATCGATCGCTGGTGTGATCCTGTCAGTTGTTGTGCTGAAGTGGTCAGTGGTAAATGCTGTTTTAATGAAGTCTGCCTATTGATTTGCCTGTGCTATTTGTCCGTGGAATTTGAGTCAACTGAAACCTGGGTAAACAAGATAATCAGGCATGATGCAGATAGTTAGATGTTTTGGGTTTTTTCTGTGCTAAAATCATCATCGTGTATAATTTACTTCATTCGCACAATTGAAGCAGAAAAAACTTGCATGCAAAAGGAAACATCCTACCACCCAGACTCTTGAAAATGAAGATTGTGCAATTCAATGTGAATAATTACATCAAAAAAAGCAAAGACATCCCTGCCAAAAAAAAAAAAAAAACACACTGTGGTATGGAGATTTGACAGAGAATTGGATTTCCCCTGCTGTGAAATCTGTTTTTGTGGTCCTGCTAGCCAACCATCGTCATTATGCCTTTTTCCCTTTAGATGCGCTCCGTGTCCATTTACAGCATCTAGCCTGGTGCACTATGTTATTATCAGCATCTCAGGTCAACTCCTGTAGGAACAGTGTGTGACTTCAGCAGGTCTGCATTCATTCGCGGCACCATAAGCCTTTTATACTGAGCACTTCAATCTGAGCCGCAATGACATATGAGATGCACCTCGTCTTGGTAAAAATTATTCAAGCGGGCATAGTCGATCTTTAAGTGTCAAACGCCACGCTTCAAAAGCTCTTTTCAATTCCTCCGAGTGGAATCAGAGTCATCAAGATGAGAGGGTCTCTTACTTTGATTTAGTAGATGGCCTCAGAAACCCCCACCATTTATAAGCAACCTCTACCATACAGTAATGTGTTTTATTTTGTAGTAGCTCTGCTAGCTGCAGCTTTGGCTTCTTTCTAGCAACAAGTCAGACGAACAGGGATTATAAAATATGTGACAAGGCCTGGCTCAAAGCTAAACAGTTACACTGATCTGCCTGCCAGACATCTTAAATATAGTCCTAGCTCCGTCTTTTCTTGTGCAAATGTGACTAAGCCCCTCTCTAGTCGTACAAGCCATCACAGTAGCTCGCAAAAGTGTTTATACCTCTTGAACTTTTCCCGATTTTGTCATGTTAAAACCACTACTTTTGGTGGATTTTGTAGGGATGTTATGTGATAGACCAACACAAAGTGGTAATAGTGATTGCTGGCTTTCTGAAACTCTATAGAACTTAAACCTAGTGCTGTGCAGTGCTATGTCCATTTGCATTCAGCACCATGCGGCTATGATCGGGACTCTAGCTTCAGTCATAGCTGCTTGCCATTTTTAGTATGTTTCCAGCTTTGCATGCAGAGATGGAAGATTTTGCTGAACTTTGACTGCACTTGTGAAACCAATGTTGATTTGGCTGTAAGTTCATGTGATTTTTCGGCTCCGAACTCAAGACTTTTGCAACCTCCAAATGTTTTTTCACCATGTGTGCCGTTTATTTTGCTCAATCCTTTTCTCACCAACTTATAGTTCCATATTCTCACAGCATGATCCTGCCACCACCACATTTTAATACATTCGAATTGTTGAGCTACTGAACTTTTCAACCTCTAATAGTTTTGATAATGGACAAAAGTTGGTCTCGTCTAGTTTTTGATTCCTGGCAATCTCCGTCAGCACTACTTACACATTTTATTTAAAGATAACCTACAAACTTTCACTGTAAACGTAAAAGAAAGATTTTTGGAGTGTACGTACATCACCAGTTCTGTTGACAGATTCCCTCAACTCAGTCTCTTTATTGGACTTCTGAAGGTACATGAAATAACTGCTGCATTGCCAGCAAGTTAGCAATGGTGCTTTATAAAATGAAGGCCCCAGATTTAAATGATGGCCTGGCCTCTTTTTACCTGGAGTTTTCACATCATCCATGCAAACATGCCATAATTGTCTTCGCAAACCCCGAAAATTCCAAAAACCTAAGATTACATTTAAGTGTTTTCCTAAATTACTGAGGTTACTGAGATTAACCTGAATACATCAGCATGCCACATTTTTTGGATTTCTATTTGTGGAAATTGTTAAAATACATGTATCCTCTTCTTCCTCTTTACAAATATGCACTACTTCCTTTTTATATCTCAATGGCCGGATAATATTCAATATGTTTGCTGTTGATACATGAGAAAATGTGTCATTAGGGGTGAATACTTTTGCAATGCACTGCATATGGTTGTATTTCAACAATCCACCTCAATGCTTCCTCGAAGCAGTAATCTCTTATTGCCCATGCCTTTGTTTTCAAGACTCGCTTCAGCTTTTTGAATATGAAGATACAGAGCTCTTGAGATTCGATGCAGCCAACTGTGTGAAAAGGTTTCCTGAGCTCAGATGCCATCAGCTTCAGTTGCAGAGATATGCAGCATGAATGGACAACAGAGCATCAGTGTTCTCGCTCGATGTCATTCTCTTTTTCTTTTTTTCTTTCTTGCATTGAGATGGTCTCAGGCTAGAATTGCTGGAACAGACTTTGAAGTGGCTCTGGCGTTTTATCTCCCTCTGTGTGTGCCTGCCTCCCACATCTGGTGCTATCATAATAACAAGCAATAACCCTCTTTTGGCAATAAGCAAGACTTTTACGCCCCTAATGTGGCTTCAATAAATAATGCCGTGTTTACAGAGGGACCATATTTTACAGCAATTTACTTCCGAGCCTCCCCTCTTGCTTCGTTTGCAGCCTTCTCAAGCTGGAGTACTGTACATAATGCTGTGTATAAACACCAACATGCATTAGCACATTTACAAACCAACTGCTACAGACAAATAGCTCAGCCCATCGTGTGCAATCACAGTGTACATTAGGAAAAAGGTTTTTCACCACACGACTTGTTCAGCTTCAACACATGGAGGCAAGGACAGGTTTCTATCGGGCCTGTTGAATACAGCAGAACAAGCATGGGGGCGCGTTTCATTAGTCTGTCAAACTCAATGATATTTAGAGTCCCATACTCCTGGCCAGGACTAGAAAACTCAATCAGCACTCTGATTTCATAACCCACTTGGTGACAGGGCTTATTTTATCGCCCTGCTGATTCATTCTAATAAATGCCGGCTGCCCTGCGCACCACTGATGAAATACAACCACTCCTCCCTCCTTCATGTCCTCCATGGGTCGACCCGAAAAAAGGGAGGGTGTGGAGTGGGGATAAATCAGAAATGTGGGAACTGGAGGGTGCAGATAATCCATCGCCGGTCCAGGTGTAGCCAGCCGGTTTGCCCGCCCTGCATTTCTCCCTCCTTCCAGAACCCTGGAGCACAAATCAGCAGCTTGGGAAGCTGTTGATCTGTGCGGGCTCACTGGGTCCATTGATTGTGGACGATGGAGGAGGAGAGGGGCGATAAATAAACGGAGGCAGAGTGAGGAGGGTGAAGGAAAACAATTATCTGTGGAGGTGGAAAGCACATAAAGCAAAGAATGATAAACACTGTGAAATATGATTGACTCCAAGTGATATATGGGAGCTGAAGGACGGGCAGGGAGGCCTGTGCATGCAGAGATATCCTTGGACGGAATGGCTGCTCAGGGTCTGACTACATAATTCTATGTGTGTCTTAAAGAACATCCAACAGATATAGTTTTGAGACATTTTCTTTTTTAAGCAAACGGCTGGTTGGTTTAAAAAGACAATTTAAGAAAATAGTTCTACAACTGGATTTTTATAAGTCTATAAGGAGGCTCTAAGATTAAAGGTATAGTAGAGGATTTTCACGCATTTTTGAAAAGACCCACCCTCTCCAGTTTGAAAAAAAAAAAGAACATGCACAACCCTATATCCCCGTTACCGAGAGGGACCGCTAGCAAGAGCATGCACAAGCCCATTTCTCGTCATGCAAGCTCTGATTTAAAATTGCTGTCCGCATCACTCACACAAGCTTAGTTTCCAAAAGAAGACTTGCAATTTTTCCACTACCACTGGTAAGTTAAAATGAGGACGAGCACATAGGACGGCCTTAGGTAAATATATACCATCAGAATTATTGACAATTTGGAGGACCACTTATTTTGACGATCCAACCGGAAAAAGAACATCCTCCACTATATCTTTCAATTCTTGCTCCCATATATATTCCTTTATATCTAACTTAGATTTTGACTTCTGTATTATGACAGAAATAAAAACAATGGAGGCTGGATGTTCAAGTATTATTGAAAAGTGAAATGGCAGGGAAAAAAAGAGTGTGATTGTAACAGGGGTAACTACTTAAGAGGGTTGTTGAGTAAAACCCTTTTCAAAATATAGACTTGGACAAGAAGACTGAATCTTGCATTTAATATAACTAAAAAATATATCACCTAACCTTTTTCTACATTTTGAAAAAAAAATCAACATTTCATGAATATAATTTCTTTAGATGCATTAGAAAATCTTTAGATAAATCACTAATTTGTTCCCTTTACTCTGTTGGCTAGGTGTCCCTAAGAGAGATCCTAATTCCAGCAGGACAAACTTGGTTAGAAAAATAAATGATTGAACGGGTGTTTTTCTCCACAGACAACAGATGACATCGTTTCCTCAGCAGAATGCTCAAGCGATGATGAGGACCTGGAGGAGTGCGACTCGGGACATGCAGGTGGGATGAGTGTGTTGAGTTCTGCTTGCTCTGAGATCTGGTCTATTTATCCTTATCTCTTTTTTTGTTTGTTTTTTGATTTGCCACTGAGGAGTTTCTCCTCTCAGCATCATGCCCCCCATGGGAGCTTTAAGTGTAACTTTTAAAAGAAAAGCAGCCCCAGTCGGAAAAACACATTTGTGTTCTCTGCATACACCAGGAGTTTTTCAGAACTCTTTGGAGATGCGTAAAAAGGAGTGGGAGGAAATCTTCCATCTTCAGGTCATTACAGTCGTAACCTTAACTGGAAATATGTCCCCAGCACACAAGGCTGTTGTCAGGACTCCAAATCAAGTTACACGAAGCTATGGGGCCCCTGGCTGCAGACATGACGAAGCGTTGATGCTAATTTTGTTCTCTCAGCATCGATTGAGAGCAAAACTTTGCAGAAAAAAAGTGCGAAATTAGCATCATGCCGCATGTCGCCTGCATTGATGCTTCAAAATGTATCTGTCCCGTACATGGTTGAACCCCTCTTGCTGTGCGTGTGTGCCTTTCTCTCCTGACAGAGGATACATTTTGAGATTCTTTCGAGAACAAAGATGCTTTCAGCCTTTAGATACTGTGATATGTAGCAGACTAACTGCAACAGAGCCTCTTCCTTGCCCTTCTTCTTTCTCTTGTTTGTACCTCTGTTTCCTCGTCGGAGGCTTGCCTTACCTGAGACATTCTAATAGAGAACAGATATCCTCGAATTTCTGTGCGCACCGTCTCTTCCTCCCCTCCCCCTTTCCCTTTGACACCACACAACACACGCAGACACGGCGCACACAAGCACTCACAGGTATCACTTTGTGATTGCATCAAAGTGATAAGACACTCAGTGGAGATTGAAAATAAAAACAGAGCTGGAAATAAAACCCCAGATTCAAAAGGAGTGGTAATTTTGAGGCAACTTGGGTTTGGAAGATATATTTATTTCTTTTATGAACAAGCAGCTGTCAATCACACTTTCAGCCCTGAGAGCAGCTGGCACGCGTCCTAATAACGTGGTAAAAACCAGGAGACTGCGAGCCATATTAAAACTGGCTCAGCGTTTGACAAGCTGCTCCCCTCAGGCCCTCAGGAAATCATTAACAGCTCAGGCTATTTGATTGCTTCACTGTCCTTCAAAATACCATCACCGCAGACTAATTGATGCTGCGCTAATCTGCCCAAACACGGCCTCGCTGAACGCCGAGCATATGTCCACTTTTCTCTGCTAATAATACGGCTAAATTCAAACAATGCACAGCCCCTGTTTGCTGGGGGGGCTGTGCATTGTCTAAATGTAAACTTTCACTTTTGACTTTTTGATTATTTTTCTAGCTCCACACTATATCATGTGTTGCTACCTACAGTAATGGACATTTTTATCCCGTATTGTTCTCCGTAGAAAAAAAGGGAGCCCTGTTGCCTATATTTTGTGACATTTCAGTGCAATTAATTAGCAATTAAAAAAAAATAAAAGAAAATGTGCTCAGAATTTTAAAAATTTTCTTTAAAAAATCAGGAAAAGCACAGCATGTATTCATACTCAGCCCCCTTCTCTCTAATAGTTCCCTGTTTATAATTTAATCTCAGTAAAATTGCAGCAGTCCTGTGAAAGCCGTTGCGTTTCTTTGTTAGTGTTTTTTTTAGAGAACGTTAGTGAAGAACCAACAGAAACAGGGAAAACAACAATACTTTTAGGAGGTTTAAAGCAGGGTTAAGTTATAACCGTGTAGAAATTTGTTTGAACTTTAGGGGCCATGCAGCCAAGATGGAGAAAGTGCAAAAAAACAGCAGTTGTGCAATCCACTGACTTCCCTTATGGAACGGTTGCACGAATAAAGCCATGGAGAGGGCAGAGCAAATACATAGATATAAATAGATATAAAGAAGAGGTGAGGAGTGATTGTAACATCTCCACTGTAAAGCATGGCAGTGGCAGCATCATGATATGCCTATGCTTTATTTAACAGGGATAGAGAAGCTGGTTAGAGTCTGTTAGAGAGGGGGTTTTATTAGGAACTGTGACAGGAGGATAAACACAAAAGTATATCTTGTTTGCAGGTTTTTATGTAAAACATGATAGAAAATGAGCTTTGTTCTTCAATTTTACAATAATGCACAAAAATGTTACAAAAAACTGCACATTTAAAAAGGCTTAATTAGCGTGAATTACTTTATAAGGCACCGTAAGTGTTCTTTATTATTTTTTTGATTAAATATGAAACCCAAACCCAAGTGTACTCATAAAGTCAAATGGTAAGCTTAATATCTGTGTAGAACATGGTACCCTTCCCTCAGATAGTGGCAACATAGACACACCCATACCTACCGGACATTCCACCATGTTGACACAGAAATTCATTCCCTCATTCCCCGCTCCGCTTCCAGTCGTATGACCAGTTGCATGACATGCTGTCGGTTTCTTTTGCATTTTCTGTTTTCTGTGATGCACATGTGAACATGAGCTGGGTTGCTTAAGATCTGAGCTTTTTGTTTTCTGTTAATATTTGGGGCCAAGGTGGGTAGAGTGATGTTATTTCCATTTTGTTTTACTTCATTGTTTTGTTTTTGGTATTGTTATTCTGATATTTTTTTTGACCTCATCACCATTGTCATCATCATCATCATCATCATCATCGTCGTCATCCATCCTCCAAGCAAGGATAGAGCCGCTCCTCCCGTTCCTGCCTCATCTCGTGCCGCATGAACTTTTGGTGGTTGGAAAAAAAAAATCTAACTCCTCCTTCCCCCTCATCAAGTTTGTGTCCATCGACTTATGTGCCGTGTGGCTCCGACAGAAACATCCTTACCTCATTTTCAGTACAACTTAGGGAAATGAACGGCAACAAAATCTTTTCTTGCCATCATTTTGTTTTGTATGGGTCTTGGTGCCAACAACCTCCCATTCTGTCTTGAGAAAGTTGTGAGTGAAAGACTGACCTCCCTTCCTTCCCACCAACTACCCCCCCCCCTTTTCCGCGTGTTGACCCCTCCTCCCCCCATTCTGATTCAGCCACCTCCTCTCTTTTAGCCTCTCTGCATATACATGTCTGTTTGAATGCAGATGGCATAAAAAGACTTTTATTGCCACAAAGTATATCTGTTTTTCTATTCTATCTGTTGCTCCAAGTAGAAGGCATTTGGTAGCATGCTTTGTCCTGGACTAACTACTGTAATACTCCCCCCCCCCTTACGCTGCTGCATGGACATATTTGGCATCCATATTATGTGTGTTTTCTCTCCACTCATAAATCTCAGGCTAACCCCCACCTAGCTTCTATTACATGTCAGTTGTGCATGCTGGGGGCTACAGCGGCGGGTCCAAGCCCGACCAACGTATCCCGCAGCATCCTGCTTGCTCAGAGGTGTCTGCTGTTTGTGCTGGCTGTCCCTGTCAGTGCTCCGTCTGCCAAAACAGCCTGTCTTGTCTGCTCTTTGTGCTCCTCTTGTGCTTGTGTCGTCTGTTTGTTTGATGAAAAAGAACTGTTAAACCTTACCCCTCTCCCTGTTACTTTACCCCCCACCCCCCCATGGGAGTTCCACAGGAGAGAGGGCAAACAAGAAGTGCACAGAAAGTCCTCGGTATAATACCCTTAACATATTTACTTAGCCGCAGGTTGGAGAAGTCGAGCTTTATGCGATTAAATTACTGGAGAAAAATAACTTTAGAGAAAATCAAAATCAACAAGTCGAATCTAGTTTCAATTTTCACTGATTAACAGTGAGGCAGCTTGTCATTACCATGTAATCTGAGCAATTTTGTGATTAGTATTTAATTGCATGATTGCAGTTAATGCAAATGACTTCAAATTCACAAATAGAAATCTTAATATTTGATTAGTAGGTACAGGTCGTTACAAACCCCTGTAAGAATATTTCTTTCTTTCTTTAATTCTTTATTTTATTGTTTAGCAGTTAAAAATCATGCCAAAATGTTTAGTTGTTTTTTTTTGTTTGTTTGTTTTTTTTTTTTACCTGCACAAGAGCATAGATGTGTGTGGGGAATAAATGTCACAGCGTGTATCTTACATTGTCAGAGCTAGAAAAGAAGAGGTGTGGCTGATAACATTAATCAAGTCTTTATTGCTTTCGCATCAACGGTTCCCTGAGAGTACAAATCAGGCAAACAGCTCTGCAAACTCTAAGAATTCCTAAATTGATCCGAGCCATCATTGTTGTTATTAGTTCACTTCTATTAAAGCTCGTCAAAATGTCAAACCACTAATAGACACTGCCCCAGAAACTTAGAAGTATTCTGTAACATGTAAAATTGAGACGAGAACCTGCTCCAGTTTTAGTTTTGTAACCAACAATATTCATTCTTGTGCTATTAACATAGTGACAGACTAAAAATAAGGTAAAGTACTCTACTACAATTCAGTAATGGGAAGAATAAAGGCCACTAAGTGCACACCGGTGGCCTCCATTTGATTTAAGCGCCAAAGTTGACCACTGAATTTGCAAAAACAATAAGTTTGTTCAGGTGTTAATGCATGTCGATCTTTGGACTTTGAGAGTGTGTTAAAACACAATGCAAAGGACTAAAAAAAACATCAGCAAAGACCTTGGGGAAGCAATTATTACTGCCCAAAAAATTTAAAAAATGTTGCGAGGTCCTTTTTAATCAATTCAAGAGAGAGAAGATTTTCAGTAACTGTTAAACTTCTCAGAAATTTCAGTGACATCAGTTTATTATAAAGCTCAGAGACGTAAAAAGCCATAAAGTTCCCCATCTCAGGCTCGATAGGCCTCAGTTGGAATGTTTAATGTTGAAGCTCATGAAAGTGTAGCAAGAAAAAGACTAAACTATGGCATGATGGAGACGGTTGCTATAGGGAAGCACATTAGCAATGACCAATGAGGAACATAGGTACTATTAAAGGAGGTACTATTAAAGACGATGGTGGAAGTGTAGTGATAAACTGACAGAACTGTCCACTAGTTGTTAACCACATATTTAATTAACTACATTGTACTAAACAAATGTC